CAAGTAACAAATAATTTTTTATCTTTCATGTAAAGTGCCTAGTAGCTAATTGTTTGTTACAGAACTCAGAAATCATATTTGTGTCGTTGTGGAATCGTCATGTGAACGTACGCTTGCCGGAATGCGGAATTTATTTCGGAAAAATTTCGTCTTTCTGTTACAATTTCTTATTCATTGTTCCTCTTACATTTTGCAGATGAAGCATTCGTTGCGTTGTGATCGTCGTCCACTCACTGAAAATTCTGTCATTTTCAGCAATGTATTCAAATTGAATTTCACTAGCAGCATCTTAATTTTCCGTTGTCATCTTTAATCATTAAACAATGATTGCCTCAGCACATCACTTCATCATTCCATATGCAATTCTCTGTTCATTTTTGTTTCATTCGCAGTGAATGACAATTCATTAACATAATTCAATAGAATCGAATGCATAAGCTCATCACTTTTTACAATAGATATCGTCGAAATTACCGATGACATTTAGATAAGATTTTTTCGATTCTGTACAGACATTTCACAATCAATCAATCTTAAAATGGTGAATTCATCGAAACATCAAATGCACAAAAGGTTAATTCACAAATAAATACATAGTTACTTTGAATACATACTCGCATACGTTCATCCGGTGAATATTCAGTGATTGACGCTTTAATACCACACAATTTTCTCATCAAACGGTACATAAACGACTTCAACATGAGCTGCATTGCTATCAAAAAGCACTTTTTGAGTACGGCAACAATTTGAGTTGCTAGAGTTTTAAAATTCATTTTACAACCACGTCATTTAACAAGTTAAAAAGTTTTCGAAACCGCGTCATTTAACAAGATAAAAAATTTTTCCAAATGCACTCCTGGATGAATGTTTGCGAAACTGTGAATAGATTCAACATAGTGTTACTAGAGCATTGTCGTATGCAATTGCCAAGCAGAAATAATCACTTGGGCATGCAACTCCCCTCTTTCATTCTCAAAATATTGCTAGTGATCGCTGAGGTTAAGGGCAAAACACATAACAAGCAATCTATTGGACTGACGATGGTAATCGACCGAATTTCGGTTGGTAAAATGCAATCGAAGTTTGCTCGGATTCCGGCCGAAGACTTTAAATTACGGTCGGAATTCAGATACCAGGAATCGAAATTTCAAAAAACAGATTCGATCGGTTTCCAACCGAAAACATTGGATTTCGCTCAGAATATCGAAGTACGGATTCTGTAAAAGTGCGTGAGGTCGAATTCTAACTGAACAACAACTACGCTTAACTCATCGAAGTGGCCACCATCAACATACTGAAGTGATCAAAGAGGTTTGAAAGCATAACAAGTAACAAGATCATTGGATGTTTGACAGTATTTGTCTGTGTATGCAACATATGAGAAGTCACCCAGCGCACAGATCACATTGAATTTTGTGGAGAATTTCTCCTCGAGTGTCTTCTGAATGGAGCGTTTTGATGTTGTCGCATCTTTGGTGAGATTCTGAAATGAACGAGGAATCAGAATCCGATGACGAGTCACTGATTGAGCAATGAGAAGCTTTATCGATGAATTCGTTGATTAAAGAAAATTATCTATTCATAGGGCTGAACACCGTTTAAAAAACATTAGAAATGTGCATTAGAAATGTTTCATGAATTGTTCATTAGCAGCTCACTTACCTCGATCATGAGTGTTTTGATTTTAACATCGTTGCA